ATATAAAAGGAATGAAATACTTATTCTTAAATGGAAATTTGCGTCATTAAGTACAATAGTGGTTAAATTTTAATTGAAAAAAATAGTATTATGAAAAAATTGGGAAGGGGGTGTAAATCGGCTTAAGGATTAGATGATTTAATATTTTTTGATGATATTATGAATCATTATCTATATTTAAATATTTTAAAGATCAATTTGAAATTATCCGTCCAAAATTTTGACATTGGAAGCGATTTCATTTTTAACAAGATAACTACGGCAAACGTGCTGACCTCAATATATGCCGCTAACGTCTCATTAACTGTAACCAAATTCTGAAAACACCACCGAAATAGCCTGATTTAATCCCAGTATAATAAATTTGGTGAGTTTTTTTTTAATTTAAAAAAAGAAAACCTTATATTTAAAATCAATAATCACAGAAGAATGGAGGAATATCGATGTAGAAATTACCAAAAATTGATGAAATCTATATTAAGACGTTTAAAAGTTGCTGTGGACAGTAAAAGGTATCCCACTTAGTACTAAATTAAGAAACAAACACAATATTTAAAGCTAAATTGAGATTTTTTTTAAGTGTACGAAGACTTTTGTAGCGTAATTTTTAGTATTTTTTTAATTATAATTTTTATTAAAAAATAGTTGCACTATGTTTTAAAAACTGATTATATTATTCGAATAAGAATAAGTAGCAGATATTATAAAAAAATTACAAACAATGTATTAAATTTTATTAGTCGAAATCATTAAATTTTATAAAATATTGCAAGTGTACGAACACTTTTGAAGCCTACTGTATATAACTAGATAATTCTATAACATAATCAAATTTGACCACAGGCAAAAAATTAACTGAAACAATCTTCTATTTAAGGCTAGCAGCTGAATTAATGTTAAATATAATGAAAATTCATTTCGAAATGTGAGTTTCAAAATGTGTATAAGAAATAATTAACTTATTTGATTTGCAGACGATATTTTACTGATACATTAGGGACCTGATTAATTTTCGAAGGGCAGATAACATTTAAAAATAAATTCAAATCAAAATATTACTTCAAAAATAGATACTCGCTGATAAATAATGTAAAATAATTATAAGAATACTAACTCAAAGTAAATTTAAAACTAATTTGATTATATCATTTAGTTTAGAATTCGAATTCCGCAACTCCTAAACTCCATCTGCTAGTTTTAGAGGGTATATAAATTATTTAAATGAATCTTGTTAACAGAAAATTAATGATCTAGTTTGTTCATCCGAAAGCCAATGGTCTAAGCCGGTAATAAAACTTTGGATAGAAATAATGAACCATATTTCTTCAGTATATCATTATCTCTTTGATGCACTCTGTTTTTGAATTATATTTTTAAAGCAGGATTTATTTCCCAACACAATTTAATTTGCTTAATGTCATTGTCCCCTGTGATTTATTAAAATTAAATAACTAACTTCCTAAATGCGATTATAAACTACAGAAAAGCTTTTAAAAATAAACAATAATTAATTTCTAAGGCTTAGAGGAAAATTCAAAGAAAAGAAAAGAATTAGCATATTATTCTGTGCATGCCTTAATGGTGAGTTTTGTTTATTGTGTTTTATTAAGTATACTCTTAATAACATAATTTCCATTTCTGTTATGTCTAATGTAATTAATAAAATCTCGAAACTCGATGGGAAGGATATAACTTGTAAAACTTTCCTTCTCATAATCATATTTTAATTATGCAAAAATAAACAATTCTACATGAACATTGATTACTGAAAGCAAAATGGAATTTTAACAATGATTTGTTATTTTAATAATTTCCCTTTCTGAATTATAAACGAATGAAACTCTTAAATATGTATTTCGTAGAGTTTACATATTTATTTGCCTTTCTCATAATCTTATAAATAAGTAAAAGGATAATTACTATTTCCTTCTAACTTATGTGGGATAGTTAAATTGTACTTGGAATAGTAATTTATAGTTAACCTAATTTAAAGGTAACTATTTAATTAAACAAAATAATAAAAATACTGATTCCGCAGTAAAATTAATGTTCGAAAAAGTTAAAAACTGCAAGATTATTCAACCCATTAAGGAAACTAAAAATATCAAAAATGAAGAGCCCGTTTTCTTACTATTTTATTAAGAAAACAAAATATTTTGTAAAAGAGTTTCCTAAAAGATTTAAAATAATCTTTAAATAAATGAAATGTATTGTAACTTTTAAAAACAGAACATATCTGTGATAACGAAAGATTAAAAATTCCTTTCTTCCGGTAGATTGCTTATTTTACATAAGATTGTTTTACTAGAACATCTGATAATTAGAATACTTAATTAATTAATATTTACTATAGATTTACCCCAATTTAATTAAATATTTGATTAACACTGAATTCTTAAGGCAAATTTAAAAATTTTGCAAATATTTTTTGAATTAAAAGCTTTAGACACTAGTGTCGAAGTATAATATCTTAACAATTTGCTCCTTCCATGGTAGTAAATGCTACCATGGAAAAAAATTGTTTATAAATAGCATTTACTACCATGAAAATACGAAAAAGCCTACGGATCCAGTATAATGTGAAAAAAAAGAAGATCGTGAAGTCATATTTGTTAAATGCTTATTGAAAAAAACAAAAATAATAATGTTGTCGTGAGGAAGCGCATTATTATGATGTAAAACTGATGAGTTGTTTTGGTAAAAATTCAAGCTCTTTTCTAAGAATTCTTTCCCGTTAACAGCGATAAACATTAAAAAAATATCTTTTCATAACCATCTAAATAATAAGAATAAATTTATAATGTACAACACGATGGCATAGATAACAATCCGAAAAATTGACGAAATGAAAAAACAAATTCATTTCCGGAACGAAAAATGAAATAAATTCCTGAGTATTGCTCTCTCTCTATGTGCTTAATAATACTGATAACAATTTTCAGACGATCTTACTATTTATCTTTTCCTGAAATAGATTACAAAATTATTCAAACGTGATATTCTGCCCATTCTACTCGTTAACGTTTGATTGAGAATTCAATTTTTAAAAATGATATTAGATTCTATCCTACAAGATTCATTTAAAAGAAAATTTTCCGTTCTTGGTGTTACATAGAAGTATTTTATTTTCCTTACATTATTAACAAAAGATAATGAGCCATTGAGATCCGATCAAAATAAAAGGACAAGGAATCGGAGCAACAAGCCACAAATGTTGATAAATTTCGAAGTAGAAGGTTTTCTGTCCATGCTCTTGGTGGGAAAAGTATGAAATAATGAGGGCAGCGGCATTCCTGAATAGAATACAGAGTATGCGATGAATCTAATAATTAGAATATTGAAAGAAAAATAAGTCTGTGTGCTTGAAACGAGGTTCTAAGGCGAATTTTTCCCTTTCTAATATGTGTGGGCTTCTGTCTTTTCTTACGTATTCTTTAAATGATGATAGTTTATTAATGAAAAAAATAATTTTTTTAAACATTTGCAAAAAGGAACAGAAAAGAACTTATTTTATTTCATAGTATTATATCATCACATAAATATATTCAAATAACAACTTTTCTGAAAATTTAAGTTCTGTATTTTTTTCTCGAAATTACATTCAATAGTTCTCTTTTTTGATATGACATGATTTTCCATTAAGTTTAAGAAAAAAATACTAATATTATGACAACTTTGATTTTAACCGTATATTAACTAAACTATTATATTTTGTTATAACTATAGTATATAAACTTAACCGCTACAATAACTGAACTGAGAAATAGTCTTCGTACATAAATTATCTAGAAAATCAAAGAATAAGACGATATTTTGAAAGACACTTTCTCTCTCTGATACTGAAAAAATATCAAAATATATTTTAAAAAATTGGAAAAATATCAAAATGCTAATAAAGATTTACAACTTAATTTACAAAACTATTCGATTAAAGTATAATTAAATTTATAATTATAATTATATATATATATATATATATATATATATATATATATATATATATATATATATATATATATAATTAAAATACAAATGTTATGTAATTAATCGAGAATAATAGTTAATTGGGAGCCATCATTCTGTAAAGTGGCATAAAATTCTTAAATCAGTAATAATAAAACCACATTAAATTATTACCCTTTTACTTTTCGGAAAGAAATAAAGCATTATCTAATGCAAACTACCAGAAAAGAAATCTTATTATATATATATATATATATATATATATATATATATATATATATATATATATATATATATATATATATATATACTTAAATCTTATTTCTTCATTAAGAACTAAATTTCCTAAGCATTCTTCAAAAAATTTTCAAGTTGTTCAAAAACTTTAAAAAGTAGCGAAAAGAAAAGTTCAAAAGACAAAAATGTTGAAAATAGCAGTATAAAAAAATATAATAAATTTCCTTTTCTTAAGTCAAAAAGCTAAGAACAAAAATTATGAATAAGTTAACAATTTCCACAAAACGACGACTACAAAAAAGTATTTCATCCAAATTTTTAATTTTAATTTAAATACAACATTTTATGAATTATGTAATATGTGATATGTATTATGTTCGAGAAATATGTGTTTCCTTAAAGTCACCCATTTTCTTCACTGCTTCCTTGTTATTTTTATTGCTTAATTTCATTAATTTCCCTTATATTATTGAATACATAAAAATGATGCTAACAGAAGGGTTAATAATTAATATATTTAAGAAGAAATATAAAAAAAATTAAGTCAATTCCTACTTAGGTCAATAAAGAAAAATTTTATTTTAGTTAACTTTTATAAAATAATTTCAATTAAGATAAATATGTATACACATATGACAGAATCACAATATTAAGTGGCAAAATAGAAAGCGATTTTCCATTTTCCTTTCTGTATATGGAGTTGGACTATTATTTTGTTTGTTACTATTTATTCATTAATTAAATTAAATTATTTCAATAAAATAGTATAGCAAAATAAAGCACATTCTCAGAAATTAGGCCATCCCAGGCGAGATTCGAACCCACGACCTTTGGATCGGAAATTCAACGCGGTATCTATTGCGACACAGGGACACAACGAGTAATTTTCCTTTTTATATATAGTGTTGGGCTATTATTTTTGTTTCTTTATATTAATTAGTTTAATTTAATTAATGAATTAGTATTTCAAAAAACTGTATTAACACTACAAGTTTAAAACAATGTATAATGTATTTGAACTTGAGTGAATGAATAAAAAGTAATTTATTAAAGATTGAAAATTTGGCCATGATATATATATATATATATATATATATATATATATCTTGGTCAAATTTTTAATAATTCTAAATATTATATTTATCGTTATGTAGATGACATAATCATTTTTGGCAAGCAAGTCAATTTTGTACCTAATACTAATTTTTATCCACAATATCTTAATTTAATAAAGACAAATAGTAACAACAATGAAGCAAATTTTCTTAACATTCATATCAAATTAATAGATAATGTAATAGTTTCTAATATTTATGATAAAAGAGAAGATTTTAATTTCAATATAATAAAAGTTCCGCATAAGGAGAGTAATGTACATATTTCTATATTCAGAAATATTGTTATTAATTATATACAACGCAATAAATTTCTAGTGTCAAAAAATCAGAAATAATAAATAACTATAAACATTTTACTAAATATTGCTTAAATCAGAAGTACCCAATTCATTTTATTAATAGTTATATGAATAAAGCTATTCAAAATTGTAAGGATTAAAAATTCTTAGATTAATTATAGTTTAATACTATAATTTTACACATTTCATATTTATAATTACCTCCATATTCTATTATTAGTTAAAATTACTTATTATTATTTAATTCATATATACTCTAGTGTAACTAAAATCATGGTTTTTTGTAAATCTTTTATTAGTTTCTGTTTCTATTCTTTTTATACTTTTGTTAAGTGCTACATTTCAGCCATTCACATGCTTTAAATCTGCATTACGGTCCAGAATCTGGCAATAACTTATTTATTGCACTCAGATTTAGCGCGGGCTCTGCGTTTTCAAGTGCAATTTTTAGGTAAGTTACCTCTACTTTGTAATGGATTTAGGTATTCCTATCCATTACTTTTAATAAGTTTTGTCAATATTATTTACATAAAGGGGGAAGGTTGGCTGGCCAAAAAACATGTTCAACTCCACTGTCATATAATAATTTTTTATATATATTAGCTGTCCTAAGTGAGAAATATAATATACAATACTGCAGCATCCATTTTATAATTTTTTATCTAGTGTTCCTTCATTGTATGTTCTCTTTACTGTCTCTGTGTTTTTTTCGAATGTGATTGATGTGAAAGTTTATCTCTCTTGTTTGCAGAGAATTAAACTCTCTCTCTCTCTCTCTCTCTCTCTCTCTCTCTCTCTCTATATATATATATATATATATATATATATATATATATTTAGTATTTAGAAGAGTGTGAACTAATAGTAGAAATTGAAATGAACAAATAATGCACTAAAAATTTTTATGTATTTATTAAGTCTCACTCCGTAATTTCAATTTTCTCATCAAACGAATAACAAATCATCTTGTTCATCATTATTTAGTACAAAGTAACCTATTCTCTTTTAACATGTCTAATCAATTTCGTTAAATATATTCACACAGCGAAAACAGGTTATTATTATCAACACTCTTAGCTCGATCACTGCTCCTTTCCTGATTTCCGTTCCAGATTAATAAGTATATCGAAGATTAAACCAGATATTTGATACCTGAAAGCCAACTCGATAAGTGCCTCTGTTGAGATCATAACGTGAACCATTCACTTCAATAAAGAGCAAAACGTTCGTTAAGTATCCTTAGGCCCCTCTCACCCTATCGTTCCATTCTTTAGAAAAGAAAACTTCTCTCCAGCCCCATCCGAACAAAGGTAACAGAACCATCAACATCATCCTTAAAATACGAAGAGCACATCTCACAGCCTCTTCTTCTGACGCTGCCCGTTAAAATAGGCAAAGCCATAAAGATAAGCACCATCGCCAGCGGAAAGCATGTCATTTAAGAGTTGCCAGATGTACCCAACTGCGGGGGGTCGACCAGAACACCACTCGCTGAAGTCATCCAGTGGCGTAATGGCTTCGAGTTAATCATTCAGCAATGCCCCTGTATGAGTCTGCTTTCTGATTTTACCGCCCTGCGTTTGAAGATCCTCTTCTGCAATCCTCTTTTCTTCGAAAACGCTCGATTTTCTGGCAGTAATAAAAATTGAGGGTAGCAGTTTGTTTCCTTCGACTAATAAGTGAAGCGTTATAAAGCATCGGTATCAATTTGGGCTCTCGAAAAAGGAAGGCAAATGAGTATACTTGAGGGCAAATGAGTCATTACATTCACCAAGTGAATTATAAGGTGTGTGTATTTCTGATAAGACTGCGTACGGCTTTTTTGTCATACATGAAATAACTGGTGACGGTTAAATACTTAGTCAAGAGAGTGTATAATTTATCTAAGGAAATTCTTAGCATATAATTCGTTTATATTATTTAAAAAAATCCACTCTTTATAAATTTGATAATTTTTTTTTTTTAAAAAATGTGAAATTTAATTTTTGCATATATATATTTAGCAAAATTATATGTTATGTTCAAACAGACGAATGAAATTTAAAAATATGATTTTATATGTTTCATTAAAATGTGGGTGAATTGGGTTTTAACTTTTGTTGGGGTAAACTCACTTTTTCTTCCATTTATAAAATTTGGAATAATCCCGCATTAATATGACTGTGGAGTTGCATATGAACTACATATCCTTCAAATGCATTCCAATTTTGTCAAAACATCCAATTTAATAATTATTTTAAGATTTATATTTTTAAGTAAAAGCTATTGATCTAATAATTGTGTTCTAAATTATACTGTTGTGCAAATTTCAAACTTTTTTTGCTTCGCGATAAATATGAACTCAAACTCAGTGGCACAACAGCCCATGAGGGCCAGGGCCTACTGTACCCATCCCATTATACGTGACTATTGGACGCTGAGGTTAGGGTTTCTGATTTCCCGGGTTTTTCCATTCCCGGGAATGCAATTGTCGTTCCCGGGATTCCCGGAAATACATCAAAATTTCAAAAAAATTTAAAAACAAGTTATTTTTAAATAAAATCAATAATAATTATATAAAATAAGGATACAAATAAACTCCAAAAGTAATACTTATTTATATAATGAGCTAAAAATACAAAAAATATACAATAAATTGATTATTCATTTTTAAAATAAGATTTCAAAAAGCATAAGCAATTAATACTTTTATCTCTCAACCTAGTTTTAAGCTTTGTAACGAACAATCCAGCAGCAGAAAACGCTCTCTTGGCTTCAACTGACGTTGGAGGAATTGTTTTTAAAGCATCACAAAGTTTTATAATGTTTGGTGATGGACTTTCAGTCGAGTCGAACAATTGCATCTCTTGTTTCATGATTTTGTTGAAACTGGTACTTTTTTTAGTTGAACAATATAAAACTTTTGTTTTAGAGTAAATTGCTTTCACTAATTTTTCGTCTAATGTCAGAGGTTTTTCTTTCAAAATCTCTATGCTCTCTTCTTCTGAGTGTGAAGAATTGGATATTGATTCCTCTTCTTCGCAGAAAAGCCTTGTCCCTATCATTTGGGCTTGTCTAAACAAACAATTTTTACCAGGCAATCGCGAAATATCACCAGTAACTGCAGCTACTTCGTATTTTCTCCCAAAATTCAGGTATTGCATTAATCCTATTAAATTAACGTTGCGTCTCTCATTAATTCTTTGGATTAGAGAATATTTAATATTTTTTGCAAATTCTGAATTTGTTCGTTCAATTCTCCAATGACGAAAGAAAATACACCTTCTGCAGTTAGCAAAGTTGCATTTCGACTGCATAATTTTTCTAAGCCAATTTTTACTGGCTTTAAGCCTTTTACAATTGTAGTCACAGTTTCAAACTCTACATTGCCCATCATTTGTTCTTCTTTAATGTCAATTAATGTTTTGAAATTGCTGACTTTATTTCTAAAAATCTTTCAAGCATTGCCAACAAACTATTCCAGCGTGTTTTTGTATCCAAACAAACCATCTTTTCACAGCCAAACTCTTCTTTAACATATTTTTGTAAAATGTCATTCTTTATAGGGGATTTTCTGAATAATTTTACTACATTTCTAATCTTTTTTATAATTTCATTTATGTTAGTTATGGAATTTTTTTCTGCATAAGTGACATGAAACAAAGCATCTGTTCCTACACAGCTTTCAAATTCTAAATCTAATGCTTTGTCTAAATCTTCAACAAGCTCTTCACTTTCACCATTGTCTTCTTCTCCATGCGATTTATCTTCTATTTCAACAGTATTTTCTACCAAATCTATTTGTTTATTATAAAGCACATCGCACACGGCTAGGTGTATGGCGTGGTGCACAGCACAGGTGATACTCACAACTCATTATTTTTCCGAACTTAACCATCATACTAGCACCATCAGTAACACACGTAACAATGTGCTTTTCTGTTATGATTCCGAATTCCTGTAGTTAAGTCTCAACCACTTTAACACAATTTTCTGCTGAAAAGGATCCACTAATTCTTAGCATTCCTAAATTAAAGATTTCACCCTCATTGAAGTGAACGTTTATGTTCAAATATCGTCTATTTTTAAGCGATGTAAACTCATCGAACGTCAAGCTACAACGAAGTCCTGCGTTTAACTTTGATGAAATTTCATTAGTAACCCGAGCTTTAATCACATTATATTGTTTATATACAAGCTTCATAACATCACTAAGGTTTGGAGGAAAGGAATAACCTTTATCATATAAGGACTTCCTAATAAAGTTACTTTTTTTATTGCATTTACCGTGAATCCATCTACACGAACAAGTTTACTTACAATTTCCTCTAGTGTTTCTTTTTTTCCTTTAAGAAAATATGATAATAAGGGTTTCTTTTGTTCAGAAGTAATTCTGATATCATTATCACTATCAATTTTCTCTTAGTAATTTCAGTATTTTGTGATCCTGACGAAACGGATTGAGTTGCTTTCGATA